TCCCAAGTTGAACCCCATATAGCAAAGAAGGAACTGGCAGGAATGTTCATGAATACTTTGTCTCCTTTCTATTGGGAAAAGATGATTGGGAGTGTCTCTTTAAGCTTTACAGATCTGGTGACTATTGGCCAAAGGTTAGAAGAGGGTTTGAAAAATGGTAAGGTATCCAAAACTACCGAATCTTCTAGTGGGGAAAAGAAATCCTATGGGAATTTCCAGAAGAGGAAAGAGGATCAGACCAATGCTATCATGACTGAAGAAAGAAGGCCTCTCCATGGACCTCAATCTGCTGATCATCATGTTGGTGCTACTGTTGCTGCTCCACAGCCAGCTCAGACTCCTTAGCGTCCCGTTGTTAGACAGAACCAGTATCAAAATAGGAATCAATTTGATCATATTCCCATGACTTACATAGAACTGTATCCTAACTTGGTTCAACAAGGGCTGATCAATACAAGCGCTTTACCACCTCCTCCTAATCCCCCTCCAGCTGGATTTAGGGCTGATCTCCAGTGCACTTTTCATGAGGGTGCCTTAGGCCACGACTTGGAGCATTGTTTTGCACTAAAATCCAGAGTGCGTGAGTTGGTTAGAGCTGGAATACTTGATTTTGAGGATAGTCATATGAATGTTCAGAGCAATCCTTTTCTAGTGCATCAAAAGTGAAGCTTCGGCCTGACCCCAGCGGATTATTTTCCCAAACGCCAGTGTTTCAGACAGGACGACTCAGCTTTGTACTGATTTAGTCACTAGGCCTTTGTTTCTCGTTGTTTGTATTTTCCTTACTTTTATATTATTTGTTCGCCTTTAAATTATGTTTGTACTTTTATATTAATGAAATGAGCATTGCGACTTTTGATTCAATTCATTTTGTCCATTGTTTGCATCTTTATGCTTTATCTTTTAAAATATGCACCTTTTTGTTCATATTTTTGATATGGAAAGATTGGAGGGAGGATGACGAAAATGTTATACCCATAACTGCTGTCAGTATGCTTTCAATCAAACTTTGTTGACGATGTAAGGCATTGTTTCAATCTCCAAACACTGGAGAAATAAGGAAGTTATTCCCTTGTCACCCCCTTCGAGCTCAGAAGTTGGAGTTTCTTTCTTTACAAAAAGCCCGCAATCTTAACCTGGGGCATGGGGTAGTTCTCAGTTAACTTAGTTGTGTGTTCTCGTAATACACCTTTCATGTGAAGGTTTTATTCACAAGTTTTCCTTCGCACATCGCAAGTGAGTGTTGGAGATGGCTTTTAAGTTGACAATGGTTCACCCTAATCATTAGAGCTAGGTTCACTTTCTTCCACACAAAAATCAAAAGAAAAAGCCAGCTAAGTCAAAACCTACGAAGGAGACTTAGGCAAAACTGGGGCATCCCGCTAACCGTAGGCTTTAAAAGAAACAGTTCAGGCAAAAGTTAGGGATAAAAAAAAGAGGAGATATTTAAGTCCTTACCCTGAAAATCCTTAAAACAACCAAATATTATAGGAAAGTAGTGGTTGCCTTTTCATAGGTCCCTTGACTTTTGAACCATCATTGCTACCGTCAGTGCAATTCCTAACCAATTAGGAACCTGAATGCATAATATTACTTAACTAAGCGTAAGACTGAAGATTATCACGTAGATTGGGTGGGTACGAATAAATTTTGAACCTTTGTCCTTTGTTTCATAAACCGTGAACCAGACCACGTTACAACCCTCAAAAGACCTAATTGAAGCAAAGTTATTTTGAAAGCATATTACAGCAAGGTTGCGTAAGCTGACTCCAAAAGATCTTTTTCAAATCATTTATTTTGGAAGTACACCTTTATTTTAAACTTTGAGTGTCTTGAACCACCGTGTTCTAACCAACGACTCATTTATTTTTCATCTTTCAAGGAATTTTTGTTCTAACCACCGTGTTGCATGAACTTTGCATTACCATGGTCGTATGAATATTTTTGTTTGCAAACTGGTTTTCCTTTAAGGAATTTTCAAACAATGAGAAACTTGGTCGGTGATCCTAGCAGGGGCAAGTCCTTCTCAGATTTAGTTTATCCATAAGATCCTTCAAGACTCATACTAGGGCAGACCTTCCAGGGGCATAGTAGCACAATCATCTACAAAATCAGACAAGCTGAAGTAATTATCAGGTCATCTATAACAGACGGTTTAATTTGGGGCAATTTACTTGGAGGACCATCAACTTGATACAATTTAGAAGTGTGACAAAGATGTGTTCAACAGCAATATCTTTAGTCCCTAAGCAGAATGTTAGTGATCTCCGTGTTGAGGAATCAGTCATCCAGTCTTGTCATCTCACCAAAGGAGTCGAACCTTGTCGTCGCCATTTGCATTTGGTCATATATCATTTGCATAATTCATATCATATGCATATCATGAGTGTTTCATCTTCATTTGTATTTCTCCCGAGGTCGTGGTGTTATTCATGTCTCACCTTGTGGTCAAAGTCCAACTCACTTGGCACCTACCAAACAGTTTTGTCTTGACTTATCTGATGGTTTTCCAAATATCCCCTTTAATTCTAATGTTTTTCCGGAATCTGTCCGATGTTTTTCCGGATACGGTTCTCTCTCTCTCTGATATTTTTCCAGAGTGAGTCTCTGTTCTGATGTTCTTCCAGAACTTATCTGATGGTTTTCCAGATATTCCTTTTGATTCTGATGTTTTTCCATAATTTATCCGATGTTTTCCCAGATTTGTTTCTCTTTCTAATGTTTTTCCAGAGTGAGTCTCTGTTCTGATGTTCTTCCAGAACTTATCTGATGGTTTTCCAGATATTCCTTTTGATTTTGATGTTTTTCTAGAATTTATCCGATGTTTTTTCGGAATTGTTTCTCTTTCTGATGTTTTTCTAGAGTGAGTCTCTGTTTTGATGTTCTTCCAGAACTTATCTGATGATTTTCCAGATATTTCCCTTCGATGCTGATGGTTTTTCAGAATTCACCCGATGTTTCTCCAGACTTGTTTCTCTTTTTGATGTTTTTTCAGATTGAGTTTTGGATCTGATGTTTCTTCTAGAACTCCTTTGTTGCTTATCTGATGTTCTTCCAGATATGTATTCAAACTCTTCCCGTACATTTAATACTTTCCTGAATGTGTCAGATGTACCTTCAGAGACTTGTCTTTATCGCATGCTCCTATAGATGTTTTCATTTTGTTTCTGGATACAGGCCAGAGTTCATTCGACGTTTTTTCGAGCGTCTCTGGTGGGTTTTAGAGTTCATTCGATGTTCTTCTGGATGTTTTTGAGGTTTGTTTCTCCCTGTATATTTTCCGAAGATTCCTGAAGATCCTGCTCGTTCTCTTCGTTTAAAGGAATGTCTCAAAAACTCCAGCACTTATCGTTTACCTGATCCTACCGCCGTGTGGATTTTGTGTTACCTTATCATCCTAGAGTATCACCGGTCATGCCTGAATCCGTTGCACAACTACTCTTGGATATTCACCAGTGGAGGCCGTCTCGCCGGTGTCATCTCCAATGAGGATCTCATTCTTACCGTTCCTTCTAAAATGACAATTGGTCTTCCTCGCACCAGTTGACCGTCACTTTATAATTTCCCAGTGTCGTGCTGTTTCCCCAGTGCATCGTACTCCCCAGTCTGGGTTGTTTGTCGTGTCATCTGCATTCTTGCATTTATCATTCAAGCATACACATCATATTAGATTCAGAACATTGTTAGCATTATAGTTCGTTTCGTTTTTTCCATAGTATTGCATAGCACTGCGTCTAAAGACAAAATTTTAAGTTATCTGTAGTTAAATCGCTTTCACCATAATTTCTCGAGTCTACGTCGCTCAAATCATCCGATAAAACTAATTACAATCAAATGCATATCATAATATTATTTCATATTCGTCTTTGGTAAAAGTAAAAAAGAGACCAACAGACAATTGAAAAGTGGAATTGGTAATTGAGTTGGCAATATATATTATATATACTAAAGAAATATCATGAATTCATTAATAGCACTAACTACCTATATTTGTCCTTGCAATAAGAAATAATTCTGCACAATAAAAATAACCTGTATCTGTCCTTTCTTTTCAAATATATATATATATATATATATATATATATATATATATATATATATATATATATATATATATATATATATATATATATATATATATATATATATATATATATATATATATATATATTATATATATATATATATATTTGTTTTTTTTCCTTTTTCTTTCATAGAAAACTTGGAAGTATCATTTTCAAATTTCTTTTGACTTCAATTAGAAAATTCATTTTTTTGGTCAACTAGAGTATGATTTTACTAAAACAAGCAAATTATGAGGTTTCAATATTTTAATACAAAAAAAAAAAAAAAATTTGTTTGTTAATATGCTGCTTTCACTCTTAGCGAAAAGGAATGTAAACTCCAAATCATACTCACTCATATGTATTACTACTTTTGGGGATGCATAGTTTGTCTTTCTTTTGATTCCTATGCTCCTATTTATTTTTAACCTTCTTTTCCTTTTTTAGACCCAACCCTTTATTCCTATCATTCCCTGGTTCAAAATTTTATCTTTGATTTTGCTGATTTGGTGCAAATAGTTTTCCTTTTGAAGTTGCTTTTCTTGCTGGTAAGTTGAGAAAAATCACGTCTTTGAAATGAGAAATAAATCTTTAACCTAGGTGTTTAATATAGACCCTTTTCCTAGGAACCTATTTCGCACCATTTAATTTTCTCATCAAAGTACTTTGACAATTTTCTCAGTTTTTTCGTTGAAAATTTTACAATACGACTTTTTTTTCTATTTTTTCATTAAACTTCTCATTCCTTTTCTTCTTTCAGCCTTAAGAATTTCAACCCTTAGATTTTGGTTTCATTGGTTGGTAAATTACTCTAATAAATCTCCCACAGTTTTTCTAGATCTTGAAAGCTTTTATACTGTCATCCTCTTTTCCTTTTAAGCTTTGAAATTCAATTTTTTTTTATATCTTTTTGTTGATGCAGTGATTTCAGCATAGATGGTGAGAGGGAAGACGCAGTTGAAGCGTATAGAGAACGCAACAAGCAGACAAGTAACATTCTCAAAGAGAAGAAATGGTTTGATGAAGAAAGCTTTTGAGTTATCAGTTCTGTGTGATGCTGAGGTTGCTCTTATTGTTTTCTCACCAAGAGGAAGACTTTATGAATTTGCAAATTCAAGGTACTTATGTCATGTACTTGTTTTATATTTTATTTATTTATCTCTTTCTTCTCAATTTGTGTCTAATTGCATCTGGTTATTAGATTATGAAGATAAACCCTAAAAAAAACTTAAACAACCTTAACAAAATCAAGGATATTTTTGTAGAGTTAAAAAATAAACAAATACTTACATTAAAATATGTACAAGTTTAATATAAATCTATTCAATAAAATTAATATATATATATATATATATATATATATATATATATATATATATATATATATATATATATATATATATATATATATATATATATATATATATATATATATATATATATATATATATATATATATATATATATATATATATATATATATATATATATTTATAATAATAAAAATAAAATAATAAAAAAATATATAATAAAAATATATGTCAAATTGTCATCCCTGATTACAATCGAGACGTCTTTATTCTTTGCTAACTTAATATCAATAACCAAAATGAAAAATTATGTTAGAAAATAACTTTAATTCCATAAATTGTTTAACGCTTAATCTCACCCATAAATTAAGATTTAATTTCTCTCCTCCAATATCTCATGATTAATAATTAAAATATCGTAATTTGATATTAATGTTAATCATCGTTAGCTAGTACTTTTTTTTTATCATTAAATTACTATATTAGTTGCAATATTAATAGAAAAGAAAATGCAGTGCAATCTGAATATTGTTTAGTAGAAACATATTTTTTTAGTAACTCGTTACAGGTTGTAACCGGTTACAATTCAAACATAAATGTTTAGTAGCATTATCTTTATAATTGGTTACATCTTCTGTAATTTGACCTATAATTAGAGTTGTAACTAATTATAATTATAGATTTTGTGATTTTGTGTTTCTTACTTCTACCTCGCTGAATACAAATGTATATATATTTTTTGGACATCTCAATAGTAAAAGTATCATTTTTCACCCCAATAATTACTCTTTCATTATATCCTTCACATTGAAAATCAACATTCTTGTAATTCTTTGTTCCAATATTTGGCATCTAGAGTCTAGTTCGATCAATCAAACACTTAGAGTGTCAAAATACTTTCCATTTCCATAGAACGAATCCATGCATATCTCCAAATTCTATATGCAAAGAGCTATGATAAGTGGTGCAAGCAGATGAGTATTATGTTTGGTTATCAAGATGTTCTTGAAGTTATCAAGAACGGTGGTACTCCATTAGCTGAAAGTGCAGCGTTTTAACAAAAGACCCCACATAAGGAAGAGAAGAAAAAAGATTATAAGAAAATGTATTTGATTCATCAATGCGTTGATGCAGATAATTTTGAGAAGATTAGTGATTTCACAACCTCAAAGGAAGGTTGGGAAATCTTGAAGAAAAGTTATGCAAGAGCTGATAAGACAAAGTTGTTGAGGTTACAAACTCACAAGAGGAAACAAGAGTTGATTTAAATGGAAGAAAATGAAACAATTAGCAAATTCACGATGAGAATTGCAAGATTGTTGAATCAAGTAAAGGTGTGTGGTGAAACGATAACAGAGCAGTATAATCTTGCAAAAATCTTGCGTTCTTTGATGTCAAGATTTGACAATGTAATAATTGCGATTGAGGAATCAAAGGATCTTATGACGATGACTTAGGAGAAGTAGCAAAACTTTCACGAAGCTCATGAGCAGAGAATGAAGGAAAGGAATATTGATAAGGCAAAGACGAAGATCGCTTTGCAAGCCCGTTCCAGTGAAAGAGGCAAGAAAGCGAACGGAAAGTGGGCCATGAACAAAGGTAGAGGGAACATTCCAAAAAGGTGGAAGAGAATCCTAAAATTCCAAAAATTCAACATTCCAAAAAGGTGAAAGCAATGAAAATAGAGTTAGTAGATCATACAACTCTAGAGATGACAACATTAGAGGAAAACGAGGAAGTAATAAATGAGACAAAAGCAATGTATAATGCTTAATTAGTTGTTAAAATTTTGGTTATTTTGCGAGATAGTGCAATTCCAACAAGAAAGAACCTCAAGAAGATGAAACTAAAGTTGCAACACAAGAGTATGATGATGAGAACACACTCTTGATGATGATCACTAAAGGAGAATGCATTAGTAGTAGGTTACAAGAAACTGTAAGAGGTTACAATAGGTGTGCAAGAGAAGGCTGTAATTGATTACTTATGCACTATAACTGGTTACTAACAGAATAAAATGTCATGCCATGACGAGAAGAAAAAATTTGTTTGTTACAATCAATCGTGCCATGAATAACAAGGTAAAGTCTACAGATGATATCACTCTAGAGACTGAAGAGATTCGTGACATATCGATCAAGGGAATGAATGGTAAACATTATTTGATAAAGGGTGTGTTGTATATTCTCGAATCAAGTGTAACCTTCTAAGCATTGGCTAATTACTTGATAAGGGTTATAAGATTCACATGGAGAACAAGACGTTGTGTGTTATGGAAGCAAACATAGTTTTTGTCCTAAAGGCTCTTATGTCTCCAAATAGAACCGTCAAGGTTGAATGAAAGGTTATGAAACATACGTATCTTGTTACAGTGGCTTGTAGAGAAGAGTTGGCATGACATTATAGGCTTAAGCATATTAATTTTTTCTATCTCAATGCCTTGCAAAAAAAACAAGATAGTAACACAGCTACCATTGATCAACATACCAACTGAGATTTGTGAAGAATGTGTGCAAGTGAAGCAACATAAGAAAAAATTCAGCAAAGATGCAAGTTGTGGAATCAATTGTCATCTTGAGGTGGTACTTTACATGTGTGTGGACTGATGCAAGTTGATTGTATTGGTGGAAATAGATATTTCATCACATTCATTAATGATCATAGTAGAAAACTATAGAGGTACCTAATCAGGAAAAATGATGAGGTACTTATGGTGTTCAAGAAGTTCAAGTCCATGGTTGAAAGGAAAAACAATCACAAAATTAAATGGTGGAGGAGAATATGTCTTAAATGATTTTGGGATGTTTTGTAATTAAGGGAGCATTATACATGAGGTAGTTCCTCCTTATACAACACAACATAATGTGTTACCGAAAGGAAGAATCATTTTCTCATGAACACGGTAAGCAGCATACTAAAGGTAAAAACATGGCGAGAGAACTTTGGGGAGAATTTGTCTCCCCTACTTATTTACTGAACGAATGTCCCAGAAAGAAGTTTTAAAAGATCACACCAGAAGAATCCTGGTCCGGATTAAACTGGACATGAGCCAGTTAAGAGTATTTGGGTTAGTGGCATATTGGCATGTGCCAGATCAACTTAGAAAGAAGCTGGATGGTAAGGAAGATCAGATGATACTTAAAGGATATCACTCTACCGGTGGTTACAAGTTGTATGATGCAGAAAACAGAAGGACTGTGATCAGTAAAGATATCATTTTCGATGAAATAAAGGAACTGCACCAACTCGTAACTAGTTACAACAAAGAAAAAGTTATTCTTGTGGTGTTTGAAAGTGCATAAACTACTGCCGTTGAAGCTCGGACTTAAGAATATGTGAGAAGATCAACAAGGCAAAGAGGTTTGCCGGTAAGACTCCAAGATTTTGATATATCCTGAGATAACGAAGTTAATGACCATGGTGAAGCATAAGGCTAGATTTGTAGCTAAGGGATGTTTTACAAAAGGAGAGAATAGACTTTGAGGAAGTACTTACACTGGTAGAAAAAATTGAGACCATCTAATTGGTTGTTGGGATTACAAACAACAATAACTTCTTCATTTGTCAAGTAGATGTCAAATCAACATTTTTTAATGGACCGTTGGAAGAAGAGGTATATGTTGAGCAACCCCTTGGTTTCGTTGTGAAAAACAAGGAATCATGTTATATAGATTGAAGAAGGATTTGTACAAATTAAAACAAGCTCTAAGAGCCTGGAACAAAAGGATAAATGGTTTCTTAAAAAAGACATGCTTCAACAAATGTGTATCCGAACATGATGTGTAGGTGAAGAAGGATGCAAATGAATGGCTAATAATTCCTTGTCTCTACATGGACGATTCGTTGATTATGGAAAGCGATGAAGGCTACATTTTTTAGTTCAAATCTAAGCTTATAAAGGAATTTGAGATGACGGACAAAGGCCTCTTGAAATACTTCCCTGGCATTGAGTTTTACAAGTCCAAGAAGGGACTGGTCTTGCAGCAAAGAAGGTAAGCTCTTCAAATTTTGAATACATTCGAAATGGAACATTATAAAATTGTTATTACTCCTGCTAAACCAAAGCTACATCTATAAAAGAATAAGCATGAGCAGGATGTTAATCCGACTCAGTGTTGGAGGTTGATTGGATCTTTACAATACTTGTATAATACGAGACCAAATTTGTCCTTTTGTGTCGAAATTGCGAGAAAATTTATGGAGAGAACGAATGTGTCTCACTTGAAAGTAGTCAAGAGGATCCTAAGATACATCAAAGTTCTATTGGCTCCCAGATTTTGTTTCCCGCAATGGAAAAAGGCAGAAAATGAAATTTACTTAGATATATCGATTCTAACTGATGTGGAGATAAAGATGATAGAAAATCCACAGATAGATATATCTTTATGTTTTTAGAAACAACAATATCATGGTGCTTGAAGAAGGAATCAATAGTGGAGGCTATCTTCTTGTGAGGTCGATTATATTGCAGCTTTGGTGTGTGCATGCCAAGTAGTGTGGTTGATGAATCTATTGAAGGAGTTGCGCAGTGAAGAGGGTTAGGCTGTAACACTAATGGTTGACAATATTTTTACTATAAACTTTGCTAAGAATCTCATTACACATGGGAGAAGCAAACAAATTGAGATGATATTACACTACTTGAGAGAGCTTGTTAGTGAAGGAAGATTGAGGTTAGGGTATTGTTGAAGTAAAGACTAATAGGCCTATTTGCTGACAAATGAGTGTCAATTGAAGTATTCAAGAGATTGAAGAAGTATATGACCATGAAAGAATTGAAGCACATGAATTAAAGTGGTGTGTTGAGT